TATTGAGGTCATTTAAAAAAAAAACCAAAATATAGACTTCCAAGTTAGTGTTCCTTAATGAGTTACTACATACAGAGTACTATGCCTTGTAAAATGTAGCAAAGTAAGAACCCACCTCCAAACTCCATGGGCCAAAACACAGCCATAAGTGAATGCAAACTGACCAGTGGTAGAGTTACAGAATGTAATTCAGAGCAGAAAAAAGCTCACAAATAGCTAAATATCTTATTTTACCACCAGTTCCTTCTTCCTTTATTTTGGCATCCCATTTTTAAAAATTATTTTAAGGCTTCACTGTTTCTTTTTACTTCTTTTATTCTCTCCCTCTTTTACATGCAGAACTATATTTGCAGACACAAAATGTTCTATTAAATGTTTTACTTAAAGAAAGTCAAGGGAAATGTTCTGACCATATAAAATACCCTTGACCTTTGTCAGTTCCTAGCTTCAGCAGACCATTCAGAGAATTCATGAAGAAAGAGAAATTTAGTACATTTGTTCCAGTACATTGTTGTATCCATAAACAAAAGTGCAGAGCAAGGAAATAGCAATTTTGCACTTGAACTTCTTTGAGGAAGATTCAGGAACCTTGATAACAGCAAAGGTAAAATTATTCCCCTCACACTTTCAGTGCACTCACCAGGGCCGTAACAAGGGTGGAGCAAGTGAGGCATTTGCCTCGAGCGCATCATAAATTGGGGCGCAAAGACACAGTAAGTAAAAATAATAAGCTGCAAAAGTAAAAAGTGCAAAAGTAAAAGGTGCTAATCTAAGGAGAGGAGGTACAGTACATAATTAATATTTTGCCTCAGGCGCAAAAATACCTAGTTACAGCACTGGCGCTCACAGTCATCCTGTCTCCTCTTTCTTCTTTTTCTCCCCAGTGCAGCCTGGGAATTATAGCTCCTGGTTTCAAAGCTAGGGAACCAACTAGGAACAACTTACAAACACAAACTGGGATAGCTATCTGATTCTAGCTACATTCACCTCAGCCTTCTACTTAATACTAACTATGGTAAAACTTTAACAGTCATTTCCAAGCCATGATTTGAGTCTGTTATCAAAGTCTTCCAATCTTTGTCTCACACGTCTCCTAATTCCTGGAAAAGCAGGAACAAGACTAAGCAATTCCTATTACTATGGATTGTCCATCATTATTAGTAATGTCACTGATGTTCTCTGGTCCAAGGTAAAAAAATCAGCACTGTGTTCTTCAGGTGCTAGCCAATGAGCTACAAACAATCTTGAAATACTCCATTTCTTTGTATCTTTGATAGAAATCCTTGGATTTCTGCTATCTTCAAAGGACACTAATATCTTGAATGTCCTTTTTTGACTTTGTACAGCAAGCAACTTCACACAATCTACAGTTTGAAACTTGTAAGGTGTAGCACCTTTCTTACACACCATATACTGTCTGTATTTCTGCTGTTTATTCTTAACACATTCACAAATAGTTTCATTGGAAAGTTTAGTTGAAGGAGAACATGTGAGCCCTTGTGAGGTAGTAAGTCATGTGTTTACCTGGTGTCCTTTTTACAGTTCAAAGGCTGATACTCCTGTTTTAAGTATAGAGTGGTCCCGTAATCAAACAGTGTTTCAAGAAAAGCTTGCAAACTCATAAGTACAGTCTTTCACCAGTCTCTTCATTCTCTCAACTAGACCATTAGCTTTAGCATGGGTATAAACAGTTTTGTGCTTGATACTATTGCTAATGAGGGAGTGTTGCATTTCAGCAGAGGCCAGTTGCATTCCATTGTCAGATGTCAATTCTTTGGGAAATGCTTCTTGGGAGGAGACTGATACCATGAACTTAATCACTATGGTAACCATTCCAGTGAATGTATCTTCTGGATACTTTGAATGCATCTACCTTTGCATAACAGGCTGATCTTCAAATGGTCCTGTTATACTGAAAGCAATTTTCTCCTGTGGACTGTTGGGATAGTCAACTGCTGTGAGAAGAATGCTGAAGGTTTGCTATGACTTATCTCTCCTAGAATAAGCCATGCAATTCCTATTTCCTTAACCCACTTGTCCATCCCTGGCCACCAGAAGTCTTGTCACAGTTACCTTTTGGTTAGACTCATCCCCAGATGTCATTCATGTGCCATATGAATCAATCACTCTCAGAAGTGTAGGCGCAACAAGACAGTCAATTTCCAAAATACATTCATTTAGTAGGAATAGCTCACATGATATGTGTCTATATGGTTGGAAGTGTTCTGGTGTCATCCTCTTGTAAGGCCATCAGTTGAATAGGTAAGCCTTTAGGTCCTCTCCTGAAGTATGTTGTTTTCTCCCATGGCTATTGCCCACTCTCAGACACTTTGGGCTGTAGCAGATATCTGTGCAATGACAATCACTGTATGATCTTTCTCTAAGGTCTGGGCAGGTGAGACAGTCTACAGCAGTATTCTTGACACGTGGAAGATATACTATCTAGAAATCAAAGTCAATTAGTTTGGTGGCTCATTTGGCAATTCCTAGTGTTGCTCACCCATAAACTCACATGCTGAATGAAGCTGAAAGTAAAGATAAATCTCCTATCCCACAGGGAGGTTCTGAAGTGACTTACTGCCCAGAAATGTACCAAAGCCTCTTTCTGAGGGACAGACTAGGATTTTTCTGGATCAGTCAAGGCTCTGGAAGTGAATGCAATAGTGACTTCTTGTCCACTTTTAGCTGAGTCAAGATATCAAGACTGAACTCACAATCATCTGTTATGTTGCTATTTGCTTCTCAGAAATAAAAGGGCTAAAAGGCAGGTTGGGGAATGTTGTTTTATTAAAGCTGGTCTTGCATGCTTCATCCCATTCAAACTTCACATCCTTTTTTAGGAGATGATGCAAAGGATCTACTTTCATAGCAAGTTGCTGCACATACTTTGAGTAATATTTGCTCAGTCCCAAAAAGAATCAAAGTTTGTTGTGGTCATCAAACTTTGGTGCATCATGAAAGGCATTCACTTAGTTTGGTTTGGGTGGTATGCTATTTTATATGTCCTAACTGTGTCACTGAGTCCGTACAGAATTGACATTTCTTCTTGCTGAGGGTAAGTTGACATCATGAAGCAATTAGATACATTTAAATTTATGTTTCTGTGTGATTATTTTATATCCATTGACAGCATATTTTACACCTGAACCCTTTGAGGAAGGCTTGGGAAGCTTGATAACCACAGAAACAATGTTTATTTTCCTCACTATTTCACAATGCTCATATTCTCTCCCCCTTCTCCTTCTCCCCTCCCCCCCGCCCCATGCATCCTGGGAATTGTAGTTCCTGAACTCAAAGCTATAGGAATCACCTATAAACAAACTTACTTACAAACACAAATTGAGGTAGCTATCTGCGCCTACAACAGTCAAGTTATGGGTCACCTTAAATCACAAATAAATGTCCACAAAATACATTTCCATACACACTGTGCATTTTCACTAGGAAGTTCCTTCTGTCTTCAACAGATAAGATAATACACTACACAATACAATGCATTAATCTCCCCTACTGTATAAATCAAACCCTTAATTACAATGGAAAAAGCTGGTAGATTTAATCGTTACATTTCTTTATATTTATAAAATCTCCAATAGAAGCTCATCAAATAAATTAAAGGACACAATAAAAATAATGATAAATTATAAATGGACTCCTGATCTCAGCCTAAACCCCTCAGCAAATAAAGGGAGAATAATATAAATCCAAACTCCAGCAAACAAAACTTTGAATTAATTTGGTACATTATTACAGCTATATAAATGACCAAAACAATGCAGAGTCCATCACTTTTTAAAATAACTTATATGAAACTATGGACCAGAGTTAATGGTGACATAAATGTAACCTACATTAGGGTAACGGGGTTAGAAAATTGATTTAACTAGCTTTAAGCAAAGTTGCAACAATTTGGCGTTCGGTATGTGTGTCAACTAAGTGTAACTTACACCAGTTTAGGATTTGCGGGGGACAAAATTTATCCTTGTATCATCATGTGACACTCTGAAACCTGTTAGTTTCCACTGTGCCTGTGCAGAATTTTGACTTATAGGATGAACGGGAAGGTTGTCTATAAATTAAGTGAGGTGAGAGCTGCATTTTATTACACCATTTTTCTGCTGCATCCTTCTCACCTTCTCCCCCAACCAGCTCGGTGTGCATGTTACAGTCTTTATCACCACCACTAGACCTGGTTTCCCACTTTCTTGCATTTTGTATCTTTATTTAGACCTAGGCAAACTGGAGCTGATTTACAACTGACTTCTTCCAGTTTTATGCCAGGCTAACTTAATAGACATTAAAACCTTAATGCCAAATGGGGGCAGTTACATTATTTTGCAACTTACATGCATCAGGATCTCTTTCTTGACCAACTTATGCACAACATATAATTTGCACCAGTATTTAGAACATCAATATTGAATTTGGCCCATAGACTTCCAGGGTGTTTTACTGTTGTACTCTAGTCTGCAGTCTTTAGGCACTACAGCTGTTGAAGTGCTTTAGTTTGTTCTAATACCATTTGGGAGTAAGGAGAGAACATTTAGTATGCTGATTCAGGACATATTTTTAGCATTTAACATTTCAAATATGTGGAATTTACCTTCTAAAAAGCTCAACACAAATAAGTCTGGCTCAGACAGAATGTTCTTAAAAGCCTGGCCATCACAGGGTAAGGTTTTGAGTTACTCCCTGGGCACAGAAAGGGCAGTAATTATTAATACATGTAGTTAGATGTGATCAAGGTGAGATGAGGTTTCCCACAAAGCAAGTGTCTGTTGGCCAATGCACTTCTGAATTCCACAATGTGTTTCTCTTTAAACATCCTTGCTAATCTGTTCATAATTAAATTTGGTGACTTTATTTTCCTCTTTCATTGAGTTCTGAGGAGCACAATTTAAAACAATTAGCACAGAGCAGCACTAAATCCCTTCTCATATTTCTAAAATACTTATTTTGTCTAATGTTTGTAGTAATTTTTTGTTCCATTTTGTTTTTAGTTTTTCCAGATTTGCTCAAAATTATCCCTGCAAGTATCCATGTAAGTGTCATTCTCTTCTGTACAGTACTGATAGTCTTTGCTCTGGTGGGAACAGGTTTCTTCATGTACAATGCATTTGGCAATCCCTATGAAACGCTGCATGGTCCAGTAGGGTTATATCTTTGGAGCTTCATTTCATGTAAGTACTTTAGTATAGTTCTGCATTTAAATTAGTCACTTATTTATAATTAATGATTTAAGATGAGTGATCTGTTTAATAAAACATGTTACTGTACTGGGAACTGTAGCTGCACTGAATCTGAGCCTGCAACCTATAGCCAGGTGGAGAAAGGCATTCCATTTTGGAGGATTGTGACCTTTTAAAATTTGGTTCAGTTCTGAGCAAACCCCCAAACTTTAAAATTCTCCATAAAAAGTGGCTGAAGCATGGCCCCAAGTCAGTTTGCCCCCTCAGACCTTGGAAGCCTATGTTCCCCAGCACTCTACCAGACAGGTCCCAATGAGACAGGCAGGCAAACTGGCAGGACAGTAGTTAACATTTCAAAACTTGCCTGGCAGGCAAAGTACCATTTGTCAAACTTGAACCAGCTCCAAAGAACTTTGTTTCTACTGAATTGGTAAATTCATTCTCTCTCACTCACACACACACACACCCCACAAAATATGGGTTTTTTTATTTGTTGGGGAACCCATGTGGCAATCTTTAGGCTTGACTCTCCCATTGGTTCCACTGATGGAAGTTGCATAACTCCATTGAAGTCAATGGAATTTCACTGGTGTAAATGAGGGGAGGCTAGAGCTCTGTGTTCGTATCTTATTAACAAGAACCATAGGCCTAATTCTTATCTCATTTACAACAGTTTGACACTAGTATAGCACTATTGACTTCACTGGATTCACTCCTAATTGACATCAGCATAAGATCAGAATCAGACCCACAGACAATCTGTGCAAGGAGCAGATTCACTGCCAATATTTCACACTTTGCAAGAGTTGCCATTGAAAAGCGTCTTATCTGAAGAAGCCCATTATAGACACAAAAGCTACTGCCACTTGCAGTACAGGCAGTCCCTGAGTTACGCGGATCCGACTTATGTCGGATCCGCAGTTACGAACGGGGCTTTTCTCGCCCCGGAGGACGGGAGCGGCGGGACGCCCAGATGTGCCACGGTCCGCCGCCCCCGTCCTCCGGGGCGAGAAAAGCTGCTCCCCATCTCCCTGGTCTGCAGGGAGATGGGGAGCAAAGCCTTGGAGCACGCCCGCAGCGGGACAGCCCGGGCGCGCTTGAGCTGTCCTCCTGCAGGTGTGCTCCGCGGCTTTGCTCCCCATCTCCCGACCAGCAGACCAGGGAGATGGGGAGCAAAGCCTCGGAGCACGTCCGCAGTGGGACAGCCGCGGCGCACCTGGACTGTCCCGCTGCCCGCATGCTCTGTGGCTTTGCTCCGCGTCTCCCAGGTCAGCAGACCAGGGAGATGGAGCAAAGCCGTGGAGGACTTGGGCGGTCCTGCCACCCCCGTCTCCCTGGTCTGCTGGGGGGGGTGCAGCTAGTGTCCCTCCCTCAGCAGACCAGGCTTTTCTTGCCTACCCTTGGGGTAGAGCAGCTGGGGGCTGCCGGGTTGGTCCCGCAGCGCCGCTCCGGACCAATCTGGCAGCACCCCACCTG